AAATACGTAGTTTCCAGCTGTCATGAGGCAAGAAATCAAATCGTTCCAGCAAACACCTTTAATCAAAGTGCAGAAAATGACCAACACACACTAAATTAGCTCTCGTTTTAGGAGCTGAAGTCACAGCCAAGATGATTTTATGATATTTTGAGCTGTTTAATTCCAGCTTACATTAACATTTAGCACTGTGACTGCTTGCAGTGGTAGATTGGTAGATTAGTGTTTCTTTTAAGATACACTAATGCACGCTGGCTCAGGCCACCCGAAAAGAACCCGGTCATAAAAAGGCTTTGCGGCAAGCAGGCTGAGTGAGTACTGGCAGGTGCTCTATTATGTTGTCTAAGCCACTTCACTCTGCAGTAATGAGCCACACGGGCTGATTAGTCATATCTAATACCACAGCTATACCTCCCCCACCCAGCCTCCATCAGCACACTCACACCAGGCGCTGTCTGTCTAAATAAGGAAGGACTCTAGAAACCTCTACTAGTGACCTGTCCAGCGCAGCAGATTGAACTAGATGCAGGTTAATGTGTTGGTGTTTAATCTCAGATCTCAGTGCATGTACTGTTGTAGTGATCTTAGGTCAGGTCTTGTCCTTTCATGTGATTCTCTCTGTAATTCTATTCTATGGCTTCTTAGTAAAGCCAGTGGCTACATATTAAATACATTAAAGAACAGTTTGATTGGTTAGCTGGTTCTTTGCATATTATTATTATTGTGACACTATTTTGAACTGCTCTTTTTAGATGAAATAAACACTCACCAGAGTCTCAGTAACACATAAACAACATAGTGATTATGCAGCAGTGAATACATTAAATAGATTATCAAGAGATTTTTGATTAACTGTGTGAATATTTTTTTTCTGAATTCATTTTTTTTTTTTTTACTTTATTTGGAAAGTCCAAGTTCATATCTGTAGATGTTTAACCTGAGAGGTCACTGAACATGTAACAACAGGTTTAATACAGACCATCAACATCCTCAACAAGCTGTTATAGACACTGTTGACACTATTTTGTAACTGGATCTTAACTGGATTAAATTTGGGTTAAGGCTAGGATTAGGATTAGGGCCAGGGTGAGCGTTAGGATAAGGTTTTGGGTTGAAGTTAAGGTTAGAGTTAGGATTAGGGCCAGGGTTAGGATTAGGTTTTGGGTTGAGGTTAAGGTTGGGGTAAGAATTAGGGCCAGGGTTAGGATTAGGTTTTGGGTAAGGTTGGGTTTTGCTTAATGGAAGTAAAGTATTAAGTCTACTGTATTAACATATCAACAATACAGCTTTTTAATGTAAGTAATGTATCAGTAGTACATCTACACGATATTTACCCGTTCACCTGTTTACAATGTATTTAGATGTTTGTAAATATGACACTGTTCTGATATTTCACTGTTCTGACAGTGAAAAATATTAGATGCTGTATACTATGCAAGTTAAATATGCAAGCACATAGAAGTATGCTTCTTTTACACAAGGGATGGCTAAGAAACAGCTTTGTCCACCATTTTTTTTTTGAGTTTGAAAAGGGAAATGTCCTCCAAGGGCTCATCTAATAATCTTCACTTGAGCTAATCAAGTAATAGAACGGCCTAAGAGAAATGACCAGCCATGTAAAGGAAGGCATGTTAAAACCAGTATTGAAAAGGGCAGAGAAAAGTTTTAAAAACATTGATTCCAAACTTTTTAGCAGGTCTCTGCAGTATTTCACACTAAACAGCCTAAAATCAGACACAGTATCAACATCTTCAGGATATTTAACCTCAAGACTTAATCTCAGTTAACTTCAACACTGTCTAATCTAAAAATCATTGTTGTGTTTACTCTTTGTTAAACTTTCTTTGAAAAGAAGCCTCACAAAATTGAATCCAACAACACCATTGATCAAAGTGTGGAAAATGACCAATATAGACTAAATTAGCTTTCGATTTAGGAGCTGAAGTCACAGCCAAGATGAGGATACTGTGGGTTGTTGAATTCCAGCCTGCATTAACATTTAATACTGTGATCACTAACTGTCTAAGTTTCAAAGTACATAGAAACTAATGCAAGAAATGCCAGGAAATTCTGAATAATTATTGCACTGTAGCACCAAGTGAAGCTGAAGTGTTAACCACACTCAAACCCACTAGACAAGACTGCAAGACTAATAAGACAGTGGACAGTAGAACCATACAGAAGAAAATTGTTTAAAAAAATAAGTAAACTGACTTTATAATATATGGTTACATTCAGTTCATCTGAGTTTTAAGCTGTAGCTCACTTTAAAGTGCATCTATTAGGCGTAACTTTCTGGGAAATGTGAAATGAGTCTATCTGCTAATTGAATTTGTGCGGGCTAAACAAATTAAGCAGCCTCATCAGTGCTTTCAGGACATGGACGTCCACTAAAATTATAATATACATATCACGGTTTCTTTCAAGATTGAATAAATAACCAGTATTGAATAAAGCCTTAAAATGTGATTTATTTTATTTTCTAAAATGAAGACAGCTGCAAATAGTGGGACTTTAAATAACCTTGTGCGACTTGCCTTTTCCATGTGAGGTGCCTTTCAGATGACTATGTGAATTAACCATGGCCTTCCCACTCCAGACTGAGCGTAATGCAGGGGGAAATGGGCAATCCCTTTTCAGCTCTGTCTCCTTTTGCCTGAATGCAGAATGAATGTTATTAGATTGCAGCAGCAGGGCTACGAGTTTAGCATCTAATCCCATTAGCTTAATGCAACAATCACATGGTAAGTTTTGACAGATATGTTCAGCATCTCATAAAGATTTAACTGGCTCCACTGTTGATCCAGTATCATTTGTTGGATTGTATAATTATATATATATATATATATATATATATATATATATATATATATATATATATATACTTTGTGTCTACACAAATTTTCTATTTTATGAGGTTATTGGGGTACACTTTGAAGCTCTACAAATGACCGCCACAGGACCACCTCAGAGCAGCTAATATTTGGGTGATGGGTCATTCTCAGCAGTGACGCTGACGTGGAAGTGACATGTAAGTGAGTGTTGCTGGTGCAGGTGGATCAGACACAGTCCACTCACTGTCCACTCTGTTAGACACACCTACCTTACTGGTCCACCTAGTAGATGTAAATTTAGAGTTCATCTGTTCCTACATAGTTTGTGTTACTCATCCTCTAGTCCTTCATCAGTGGTCAGTTTTTGGTGACAGAACTCTGTGAGGTTAGTGGACTATCCCCGGTCCAGCAGTAACAGTGAGGTGTTTAAAACTTGTGATCCACTCTGCCCCGCACAAATATCCACTACCATGTCAGTGCTGAGAATAACTGACCACCCCAATAATACCTGCACAGTGGTGGTGCTCTGGGGGTCCTGATCAGTGATGAACTGTGTAGGAGGAGGGTTGTAATTATCAAACTACACATATAGGCTGATACATTAGCAAAATGCGCTTTAACCCCTTTACGCAGTAGCCACAGTAGCCAAATGCAATTTCCATTCCCTCAGTTGAACTAGGAACTTTTCTGATGGAATATATACATATATTTTATATATATTACACACACACACACACACACACACATATATATATATATATATATATATATATATATATATATATATATCAATATGTATAGCAATTAATAATCAAGCTTAGAGTAATTTAGTAAGCAAGCTTAGAAATGTGGTATACATATGTTTATATGATGTGTCAGTAAGGTCTCCTATAAATTAGTTATTAACTGTTTGTTGATTATGTTCAATGTTAATTAATTTTATTTTTTCTGTTGTAAGCATAGCTTAATTATCTTTGTGATGTGTTAGTCAAGGAATATAAACAAGTAAAAAGTATCTGAATTCATAATGACCAAACATGGTAGTTAACTGCAAGGAAATTGCCACATTTGCAAGCATAGAAATGGCCTAAAGCCGTCCATAAGATCCATATGATGGTTTAAGAAGGAGCTTACAAATGTTACATAATTCCTTAAAAAGACTGTGCAAATGACAAAAAAACATTTAAAATATGTTTATTAATTGATTTGCAAGACCAAATCTAAAATGAAACATACCTTGCTGTTCGTAAATGCTTACAAATGACCTTGAAGCAGCTTCCAAAGAACTAGTTATGTTTAGACTCATAAAATATTACAAAATACTATAATTTAAGAAAACATTGTTACGGCAAATTGTAAGTTAATCTATTAACATTTGTAATCTAATCTATTAACATTTAACTCATTAATCAACAAACAGTTCATAACTAATTTGGAGAATACATCATAACTAATACATCATATAGATACATTTACAACACATTCCTATTCCCCTTGACATGTTTCTATTTACTACAGCATTAATACATTTGTATGCTGATAGTAAATAAACTGTTAAGAAGCAGACCTTCAAATAAAGTGTTACCAAAATATTTTATTAGATTTAAAATATCTAAATCATTTTGTGTTTGGGGTGACTGGTAGCCTAAAGGTAAGAGAGGCGACGGGTTCAAATCCCAGGACTGGCTGGGTGTACCTGGTTGTGCCCTTGGGCTTATCCCCCACTGCCTCAGGCAGCGCTGCTCTGCTGCTCCGCTGCTCTGCTGCTCCGCTGCTCTGCTGCTCACAAACTGGGTGCAGTTACGCAGCAAAAGACAAATTTGCCTTGTAGGACCAATAAAGTACATAACGTAACATTCCACCTGCTGAATGGCCTTTTGGGGGCCTGAAGGAAAAGGTTAAAAATGGTAAAATAGTTAAACAGAGCAAAAGCAAGTTTTCCCCAAACCATCTAATATCTACAGCGCAATGACATTACATGCTCAGTCTTTAAATGACAGAACAACACACACACAAACACACTGTAGAGTTATTTCATACAACCTTTAAATGTATCTGTGATATTTTTCATACGGTTATCCATATACTAAAATATGAAACTATAATTTTAAATGATGTGTATATAATGTATATATAAAAAATATAGTATAATTTTTAAATATTCCAGAATCAAGATCAAATGCATAACTTTCTTTATTTTTGTGACTTATATACAATACTATATAAACTTGTAGGCACACATGATGTTTTACAGGCATTTCATCAAAACAGCATAATATTTGCTTTACAATTCTGGCATAACAAACAGGCTCGAGAAACTTCAGCATTGAATCTAAGCACATCCCTCACCCAAGTAATACATACCATCAACTCTTGTTGGCACAACTTGTGTGCCTATAGCTAAAGACGATTTTTGGATATAGATGTCTGGTCATCTACTGCAGGTTCACTATGGCAAAGTCTATCTGCCATTCTTTACGTCTTCTGGTTACGACCATACTAGTGACATTCTTGTGACAATACAGCACTTAATAACAGATAAATAGCTTTACTGTATCTGTTGTACTGCAAGCAGTACCGATGTAAAGAAAGACAGCCAAAGCAGCAATATAAGCTAGCCAGAAAGCCAGATTCTACCATTATAATTACAAGACCCATCATGCTAAAATATACACATTTGAGTTATTCCTCTCAAAAAAGGTTGTACTCAGTTATTGATATTTGGAAACATACTTGGTTGCTTGTTGAGTATGATGTAGGAAAATTACAGAAGGGCTTTTTTGTGTTAGCTCTGCGCAGCCAGTATCTGAAAGCTCTGTTCTGCTGCTGCTTGAATCATGCAATTCTATCACAAAGCTTTATGTAATGTTTCTGCCAGTTTCATTGGACCAAACTACTTCATAACAAGGTAAATGGGACACAAGGTTAGTTTATCTGTAAATAAGCTTTTAGATCTGGGACATATTCTACTGTAAGCTTTCAGTTTTTGGAGGTATTTATATTTCAGAGGAAAAAGGATTTTCTTCTAAATGTTTTTCTTTGCACTGCAACATTTACATTTTTCACTGGTAAATAAACATGTAATCTACCTGTGGGCTTTAGTCTTGCAACATACAGATCGTTGAAACTAAAGTGGCTCTTTTAAATGTCTGACCAATTTAAAAGAGCCATTTCAGTTTCAACCATCTGCCCAAAGCTTATCTTGGTTGAGCTGTTTTGTGTTTACATTTTGCATTTGTATGATTTTACTTCTGATGTTTAGCTTCTCATATTGAAGGCTAATAAATGCTTAATCTACAGAATATCAGCTCAGTCAGTTGGTGTTTAAAACCTATGCCCAAAACAAAAATGATGATGGCATTGAGCTGCACTGAAGATATACTCTGTAAAATATATATCGGACCTTTATCAAATTAAGAATATTATTTCACAGTCAAAGGTTTGGAATGTTATATTGAATGATTGCTGTCTTCCATCATTAGACAAAAACTTGACATTATGACCTGTTAAGTCATTTGACTATATAAAAGATTTTTTGCTTTTCAAGTGAAACTAAAAACTACAACTTAGAGAAGGTTTATGAAAACATTCTACAATTGTCTGTAAGGATGATCATTACCGTCTGGCTCAGAATTATTTTGAACTTTTTTGTTTCACCACCCAGATTCCAACTGATTCCAATTGTAATATACCCAATTTAAAAACCTTTAGTAGCTCAATCTATAGCTTGGTGATTCTTGAGCAACAGCAACATTCACACATATTGCTTTGTTTTGCATGGATCTTGTGGGCCGCATTATTCGTGCAGAAACGCTGTCTAAAATTATCTTTTTTGCATTTCACCTATCATACGTCTTTCTTATTCACAGTTGCGAAAGGTAGTGGTTAGTAGTGCCAATCGGTGGACCTTGAAGTTTCGTTTTTGTTTTGTTTACCCGGACCTGAACTGTGCAGTCTTTGGAGGATGAGAGAGGTTGCCAAGCACTAAGCATTGCAGTTGGGTTCTAAGATCTGGTGCAAACCTGCAGTGGGTGAAAGTGAATCCACCCTCAGGCAAGCACTTAGGGTATCATGTCTTTTGAAGCATCACTGTATGAAGTGAATTTGAGAATGTTTCTCCAGGGTTGTCTCTGTAAATTGTCTTACGTGTAAGTGATGGTGAACCCCAACTTAATAGCCATCTGTTCCTTCACTGAGTGACTCTCCAGTCCAGGGAAATGTGTCATGGTTAAGCATGCGTCCCTTTCTTTGTCAGGTGTAAACGGTGTTTGCTAGAACTGCTAGCTTGTGAGAATCTGTATGTCTTTGCTTTCCCTCTGGCCAAACCCAGAGTTTGGATACCGGAACGCTTCACATGACGACGCACTTGCCCTTTAGCTTCTCGGCCCGTTTCTGCTGCTTGTTCTTTTTGCCGTCGATCTGGAGGCTGACAGTCCTGCGCTTCTCCAGGTTGAGCAGCTCCTGGAAGAGCTCCTTTACATTGTGGTTCGTCTTGGCTGACGTCTCCATGAAGGCGCACTTCCACCTCTTGGACAACGCCTCGCCGTCGCTGGTGTCCAATTCCCGGCCACTCGTCTCGTCAATCTTGTTGCCCACCAGCATAATGGGGATGCTCTCCACATCACCTTTGATCTGACAGATTTGCTCAAAGATGGGCTTCAGCTCTTCCAAGGACTGCTTGCTGGTGACGGAGTAGACCAGGATGAAGGCGTGTCCCTTGGAGATGGACAGGCGCTGCATGGCAGGGAACTGATGGCTGCCGGTGGTGTCGGTGATCTGCAGGGTGCAGATGCTCTTGTCACAGCTGATTACCTGCCTGTAGGTGTCCTCAATGGTGGGGATGTAGCTCTCACGGAAGGTTCCCTTCACGAAGCGCAGGACCAGGGAACTCTTGCCAACTCCTCCAGCCCCAAACACCACCACTCGATAATCGTTGCTTTGCTCCGGCATTGTTCTTTGTGAGATCTTAGAGGGAGAAGAAACAATATAAGAGATGTGAAATGGTGATTAGTGAACGTATTTTGAATTTTTTTTTTTCATTTTCGCATTAAACAAGTCAAAAGATACAGGTCTTTACGTGTAGAGATGCTAAAAAGCCCTTCACATGTATTCTAAATGGCACTCTACAATGACACCAGCTGAGAAGATCTCCATAAGCCAACGTGAAGTGGCAGTTCATATACATAAGCCAACCCAAGAGCAACATCTCTTTGCCTGGAAGAACATCTACACCATGTATACCGCCATGCGTCAGCCTACGAGGGTAAATATCCGAGCTAGCTCCACATCATGGGCTTCACTGTCTCTCTTTACTGTACAAGGAGGTCCTAAAGTCGTTCAAAACATTGCTGGTTAGGTTCTCCTTTGCCTTAAAACGCTTATTTCTGGGAAACAGATCAGAAATGTTTTCGTAAAAGGCTTGTTTGCCGGCTGAAATGTAGAAATAGCAAAACGTAGCTCGTAGCTGATGGTAAGGATAGAGAGCGCGTGCACAGCTAGTTTGGCGGTTTCAGTGGGACACAGTCTGTTTTTTTAATTATTTTAAATAATTATTTTATTAATCCTATTTTTTCACAGTGGTTGAAGCTGTGCGGCAACCAGAAGTAACGTTAGCCCGCTGCTGATGCCAGGCAGGGAGCGAAGATGCAGAGATGCTGCAAAGCGTTCAGCCACAGAGGGGGAAGTCCGTAGCATCCTGTAAGTACGACGCCTCTGCCACTTTCACCGACTCTTTGGCTTCACAGCACAACAAGGCTTAACTGACTTGTTTTATTGAGAGACACAGAAAGAAGTCGACTGAATCCGACAGGGCGTAGCCGGTTATTTCCACACACAAACAAAAAGAAAGACCCACTCACCTCCAAACAGTGGCGGATAGAGAGAACTTCACACTCCCGTCATGGTAACGTTACTGTATCCTGAGGTGGAGGCGATTTGGCGGGTTCGTGCTCTTCCCTCCCTCATGTACGAACCGGAGCCGGCGCTGAAAAACCCATTTCGAGCACGGACTCGGATATTTAAAGGCAAAATAAAATAAATAATTAAATAAATGAAAAAAAATCGAACGAAGGGGAGATTCGCCTCCCTGCGTGACGTCACTCTCGCTGACGTAAGGTGGAATCTCACTGCTTTGCTGGTGTTTTGTTTTTCTCCCCACCTGTATTCCGGCAAATCCCGCCCTCCATGTGCTACGATTGGCTGATAGTAGCTCGTTCTCTGCACTATGATTGGCTAGTACGTCGGATATTAAATAAGTAGGATTTAGTGCTGAAGGAAAGCAGAGCGAAAACAGTGAACCGGGTAGGCAGCACAGACTGTTGTTCTTGTGTGTAGCCTTTTTATATTGAATTAGAAGGAGCTGAAGACATGCACTTTCTCTGCTTGTTACTGTTTTAAACCGTTTTTGGTCGTGGCAATGGCAACTTTATAAAAGCAAGATTCTTTAAGGATTGTTTAGTAAAGATATTGATTCTATATAGAACCATTGACACTTAGGAAACCGTGTGCATGATTAAAGGTTTTTCGTAATGGTGAAATCGTTCTTCAGACTGATGGAGAATGTGTTGTATAGACCCCTTTTAAAAAGGTTATATGTATAACCATGTACAACACATTTTCCATAAATCTGAAGAACCATTTCACCATTTCAGGAACACTTTAAGCATGCAAATGGTTCTCTGGGTGGCCATGGTTCTGTATAGAACCATTGTCTTTAGCAAAGAACCCTTGAAAAAAGCATCTTTTTTAAGAGTGCTGCACATAAAAAAGACTGTTCAGTTAGATTTGCTCAGGTTCAGATTGTATCCCTAATTTATATCTGTAATTCAGAGTTTTTATGCACCTGCTGGTTATAAAATAGGCCTGTAACAAGGAAGTAATGCAAGTAAAGCAATAAAACCCCATATATTCTAAAGAAAATACAGGCAATTTGAACCCATAGATGACATACATTGTGCTAATGTATAAACACAAAAACATCATGAAGTGGCTAGCACAGTTCTCTTGAATAATATACAGTATAAAAAATATGACTGCGTATGAGTATAAACTACTAGCCAATCCTCGCGCAGGAAGGCGGGGTTTGCCGGAATACGGGTGGGGAAATAATAATGAAGAAACCCCCACAGCGTGGGCAGCTTGCTGGGAAGCCAACGCTGGGAACATCTAAAGTAAATGCGTTTATAACCACCTTTTATCGTCAGGTAGTTAATTAAAAATCTACGCTGTCTTTGGGGAAATCATGTGGCATCATGGTATCATTAAATGATAAAGAGTGTTGTGTCTATTTATCAAAGATGAAATGACAGTGCTGATCTTCTAGGGGTTGTAGTTACTTTAAAAAACCCACATAATACTACAACGCAGCAACACTGCTTTTTCCTTTTACATATATATACATGCATAAGACTCAAATGTTTGTATGTTGTTGTTTGTTGTTGTTTGTTTGTGGGTTGATGGATGTCATGAGGGTGAAGGCTATGGCTAATGGTGACCTCCCCTGTGAGTCTGTGATTCTGCATGTGCCTTTCTGCCTAGTGTTTAATAAACATGGCTTCCCGTCTTACGCTATGCTTATGTTACACTGGTGTCAGAATTGAGATACAGTGAACTAGTAAGAATTGTTGCTTCTAAAAACTCATGAGCGAGCAGGGAGGGAGGTTGAGACTGGTGAAAGATCATGACAACACGGACAGCACTGCGAGACTCCACCAGGATAATGGCCTAGTGAGGCCCAATGACAGGGCAGGCGCAGGAAGGCTTGAGGCCACAGCATGGTGGGGCATGACAGCAGTGAGAGAGAGGCTGGCAAAAGTGGGACCATCAAAGGCCTCAGTGGGGAAGCGCTGCAGCCAGCAATGGAGCAGTTGGTGAGCTAGCGTTGTGGAGTGAGAGGACACTGCGCCATGCAGTGCTGCAAGCCTGGGTCAGCAGGGAAAAGGATGCCCGCCAAGAGGTTCAGCAGAAGCCACAGGCTGGGGGTTGAGGGCAGTGTGTACGGCAGACAGCTCATCACACTTGCCATCACATGCTTGCTGATATCCCCACTGCGACCCACCGTGCTCACGCACACAGAGAGAGGCATATCAAGTGAAGCGAGTGCATCACGGTGTTTGTGCTGGTCGGGCCACTGCACATGCCCAGGTTCTTGGCTCAAGCTGGTAGGTCCCTGGGGATTGTCGACCTTTGGAGGGGGCGATGTAGCGATCGGCTATAGGCTGGCGCTGGCCTTTAGATGCTCTTGACGCATGGCCATGCTGATGGCTGTGCCAGGAGGTTCCTGGGAGGCATGCACCCTACAGAAAAGTGACTTAAATGTTGTTTGTCAGTTAAAGGTCTATAGTATGTGTTTATTGTGTTGTTCTGTGTAGGGGAGTGAGGTTAGTTAGACTGGGTCAGTGGTCACCATGAGGGTGAATGGTATGGCTAGTGGTGACCTCCCCTGTGAGTACACACATACACACACACACACACACACACACTTATATAAATATGTTGTGTGGATCAGACGCCACAGTGCTGCTAAAGTTTTTAAACATGTCATTGCTGGATGGTGAATAGTCCTCCAACCAAAAATATCCAACCAATAGCATCCTGTGGGAAGCAGCCTATGTAGTAAGTGGACATAGAGAAGCAAGAAGGTGGTTTCAATGTTCTGGCTGATCAGCGTATGGACAACGACTGTATGAGTTATATATGTAGTTCCACGAAACATTACACATTTCCTTTCATAATTTAATGTTAAGTAGAGCTGATAAATTGGACTATGATTGAAACAAGGAAAGGAAAACAATGAGGTGCTTTTAATGAAGTGGCCAGTTACATGTTATTTATGTATATATATATATATATATATACACACACACACACACACACACATACACTTGTGTTGGTCAGTTGTGCAAATGAGCATTATGCTACAGAAGGAGTTATACTGTAATACAAAAGGGAGTTTGTTAGGTTCAGTTTAAGTTTAAATTTACAGTGCAAGGTGTCCACTGTGGGCAGCATCCTGTGGCCATAGCAGCAGATGAGCTATTGTCTCTGATAAGGTAGGAGTGTCTAATAGAGTGGACAGTGAGTGGACACAGTGTTTAAAAACTCCAGCAGCACTGCTGTGTCTGATCCACCCAAATAGTACCTGCTCAGTGAAGGTCCATGGGGGTCCTGACCACTGAAGAATAGGGTAAAAGGGGGCTAACAAAGTATGCAGAGAAACAGATGGACTACAGTCTGTAATTGTAGAACTACAGAGTGCTTCTATATAGTAAGTGGATAAAATGGACAACGAGGTGGTCATAATGCTATGCCTGATTGGTATATATATATATATATATATATATATATATATATTACCATTTAGAGATTTGGAATTATTTTTCATAGTTGTTACACAATCATTAATTATAAATTAAACTGATGGTTTATTTGCAATTTAAAATGTTTAATATGACCATCATATTAGTGCTATTTTATACATGTGTCTGCAACAAAATTGTTTTTGATTCTAAAATTGATTCTAAACATTTGAATGGACGTTTATATATTGCTGTGTTTATTGCTTAGTCTGATTGGCTGGTAATAGCTCAACACCCACTAGCACATTGGTGTTACTGCTGTGCTGAGAATGGTCCACTGTCCATATAATATCTGGTCAGTGGTGATCTTTGGTGGTCACTTTTTATTGATGGATGGGGTAGAGGGTGGCTGATAAACTGTGCAGCAACAACTGGGCCATAGTCTATTAATTGTACATCTACAAATTGCATTTATGTGGTCAGTACTGTGCAGAAGTGAGAGACCATCCTTTTATTTATATAAACTCCAGTCAAAACAACCATTAACCAACTTATGTATTTTTCAGCATCGGAAAAAAGCAGTGTTAGAAAAAAGACTTTTGCACAGTTGAGTATATATAATGGACAAAGAGTGTAGATACAATGTAGGTAGACCTAAACTGGTAACTGTATGAGTTATATATGGAGTTCCACAGAACATTACACACTTCCTTTCACAGTTTTAATAATCTCTGGTCACTAAACTACCAGAGCTATTCACACTTCTCCAACTCTTTCAGGAAGTTGGCATCTTTTTCACATCTGCACTTCTAAACATGCACTACAGCATCGCTGGATATTTCTTGTGATTGATGGATTGTTGACATTCGTAGGAAAGTCAGCTCCTGATTTGTACTTAGTCTCAGATTTGCACGCTAAATGCTACAGGAGGTTTATTCCTCAGACGTCTGATGTGTTTTTTTTATGTAATGCAAGCAAGTGAACATTGATATAGGACCTTCTTATAGCACTAGAGTTTCTCTACAAGGCTCTATCGTCTTGTATGCTGCAGTTGTGCAGTTTGACTTGGTTTTCTTTGGATATTTGCATGCAGTTTTCAACTGCTTCACTGGGCAGGAACTTCTGTTGTTTATTCTTATTTAGTTTGTGTAGAAAAAACAGACTGCATTAGTAGCTATTAGCCACTTGTCACTGTTAGAGGTTTAGATGACAAAACAGACAAAGAACAGTTAAAGTCAAGGGTACAGGACACCTACATAAGTTTGTTATGACAAATGACAGAATTGTACATAAATGTTTATAAATGCTTATTCTATTATTGTGTCATAAAGGCTACTTTAGCTAACTTTGATCAGAATTGGCAGATGTGTCCTTTACAGTAAATGATGCCTATTGGAATAAGCATTTATGTACAGTTATGTCAATTGTCATGACAAGCTTATGTAGGTATCATGTAGCCTTATGAATTGCACCCTACAATAAAGTGTTACCTTCATTGTAAAATCGTTGCCTCACAAGTGGCTTTGAATAGTAACAAGCCAAAATGTGTGGGGGCTTAGTTCCCACTCTTTTTTACTCAACTTCTGCAATTAGTTCTACTGACTGACATTCTGTTGTCAGCACTAAAAGAAAAATGTAGTCGGCCTCACAAAAGAATGTTTGTTAGTCAGAACTCTTTGAGTCATACTAACATTTCTCCTTTCATATTGACATTTACAGCATTTGGGGGACACTTTTATACAGAGTGATGTAAGGTTTTAATCATGTTACAGAGGCGAATTGAACCCTGGTGTGCTGTGTGATGGGCAGCAGTGTTGCCCAATACACTGTACTAACCTCTCATAGAGGAGTATGATATTTTTAAGGATTTTTGCTTAATCCCTTAAAAGGCTGGCAAGCACAAAGTCTTATTACACACTTCTATAACCTAAGAATAGCTCAACCTCTTTTCATTGAGGTCCCTGTAATTACTGAGTAATAAGGCTTAGTATGTAATAAGCCTGGGATGTTATGGGGTTAATCAATTTGACATTTTAAGTTTGATATTTTACAGTCAATCATGTAAAGTTCAAAACTTCATAATATACAAATATAAAAAGTCTCACTGCCTGTCTTTAGCATGTATACATCTGTGCTTAGTACATGGAGTGTAAATCATATATACTGCATTAAATGACCCTATTTATTTATTTCTACTGGTTATGCAGGGAGTGGTGTAGTATAGTGGGTAATGCTGCTGCCAACCACGTGGCAGATTAGAGGTTAGATTAGATTAGATTATTAGATTGTTAGTTGTACTTCTTCTTATTTTAGCTCAACTAAATATTTCTTTTCATGCTGACAACAGAATGTCAATCAATGTGACTAATTATTAACAGAAGTTGAGCAAACCAGAAAAAGCTAAGGGAATTGGCACCAACAGTTCTTTTGATATGCAAACTAAATTTCTTAAAGGGAAATTCCACTGATTTTTTAATAATTTCTGAATAATGAAGTGATTAAGACGGAAACAAAGTCATTCAGAATGGTTTGGTGTAAAATGCTCTGTTCTGGAGAACCTTAATGGGTCAAAATTGTTCACAGGAACATCACAGGTGGAACAGGAACCAGACGTCTGAAGAGGTTAATGTGTCTAAAAGCTACATCACAGAAAGTTATAATATGAAATGGTTATGAATATGCTACCTGATGCCTGAGACATTGCCAGATAGTTTTACAAAAACCTGTTTTTTTTTTTTTTATAATTACCACTGTTTTATCATCATCAACACTGCATATAAAATACTCTGATAGTAAATAAAATATAATGTATATTTTTTAACATCCTTACCCCCCGGTTTCTATCACCACCACTGTATAGAAACCTCAGTCAGCAAGTTTCCCTAAAATGAACTATTTCACATCAAACTACTCTGAATGACTTTGTTTACATCTCAAACTGATATTCCATCTTTCCCCTTAATATATAAAATACACAGAATACCTCTCTATACTGGGCTTGAATGTGTACAATTATTGTTGTTTGTCTTTAAGCGCACTTCTGCCCCCTGTTGGTGGTCGGTGGTATTTAAAGCCATTTAATCTCATCTGGGTGTGTATAGTCATGCTCTGTGCACCTGGAAAGAAAGATCATTTCCGGGGGCTTCCGCTGAACTTGCAGGGGTCTCTAAAAATAGTCTGAAGTATGAGACTTCTACCTCTGCATCCTCAGATTGCTTGATGAAAAGAGAAAATGTTTTACCACAAAGTCATGAAAAAGAAGAAAAAAAATATTTGGAGAGTTGCCACTTATGATGCAGTAGCTGTAGCTGAAGCGAGTGTGCCGAGTTAAATGTCACACAGTTGCAAAATGCTGTGAGACAGCTTGATTCAGTCTCCTGAGAACAGGCTTTTTCAGTTACAGTCAGTCAAATGTGCACCTGTTTAATTATAGAGCTGCTGATACTTTATAAGATGTTTTTCAGTCACAGTCATGAGCAAAAAGGATAGTCAAAGCACAATAACCATAGTAACAACAACAACAACAACAACAACAATAATAATAATAATAATAATAATAATAATAATTTTTTGTATTATTGCTATTATTGTTGTTTTTTGGGGTGTTCTTGCTGCTGATGCAAGTCTTTAAAAAGTGATTATTAAATACTGAATTTTTAAAAAGTGACTACTAAATACTACTTTTAAAGAGCTCATATCATAGAAAATGAAGTCGTACCTTCCTTTTTAATAAAAAACATTGATGTTGTATTAAAGTTTCACAATGTGCCATTTAGTTTAGCAGTTTAGCCCCGCCCCTTCACACTGAAGCTATAAGTGTTTTAGCCTGCATTTTGAATGAATACAGGCCTATCAGCCAATTAGAATCAGGTCATTAACATCCAGTCAAATACAAAAGTTTGGGCACCCTGGTCAAATTCCATGTTCTGTTGATTTTCTAGTTTTCTAGTTTCTAGAAAGTAAGTTAACATCCTCTACAGAGACACACTTCTGCATAGCTGAATGCACAATTTAATTAGCTGGTTAAATTAACATATTAGGAGAAAAACAAAGCAGCTGGTGCAAAAGTTAAGGCACATTTTATATTGTGCATTTTATTTATTTTAAAAATCAACAAAATGTGTAATTTGACTGGGGGAGTTGAAACTTTGGCATATGACTGTACTTCAGCCCTAAAAGCAGAAAAAGTAGCTGGGATAAAGAGAGCTTGGAAAATGATTCTGTAAAAAATGAATTATGACTGTTTTTGATAAATAAATCCACACAAACATCATAAGTAAAACTCAGGAAAAAAATAAAATACATGTAAATATATACAGTATGAGTCCTTTAAAATGTACTATTAAATATGTTATATTATTCACTATACTGTACTATCCTATACTATACTATACTGTACTTCATTATACTGTACTACATAAAAAAGTAACAACTGGCTTTTTATTCTTTGTTTAGAGAAAAATAATCTATTACTTTGAGGAAGTAAGTAAATCAGGCTGCCTTACAACTTTGACTTTATTCATCTGACAGAATGATTATTGCACTGTTAAGTTACTATTTGACATTCAATGAACTGAACAAATATGAAGTCTGCCAAGATACTTACTTTCTTATGTTAAACAACAAATCTTTTTTACGGTGTGCAAAGGAATATATAAAATAGAAATATATGGTCAAATGTACAGATTTGTGTAGGAAGGGAAGTGAACACAGAGCAGGTGTAGTGGAAGAAGGCAGCATGCCATAAACAGGCCACTATCACTAAACATCACGACTGGTTTCACCTCACTGATCTGTATCACACAGATACATTACAAACTGCACTTACCGTAACATCCCACAACATCGCTCACCACACATGTGAACTCTCTACGGTGCTTATATTTCATATACACGTTAATCCTGTACCTTGCAGTTAATTACAACCATAATTCTGTTGGATGTTAGTTTTTATTATTACTTTATTATTATTATTTTGTTAATTCTTCTAGGTAGCAGATGACAATATTCTTTCTTTATTTATTTATGTCATTTGCAAGTTTTAACTTTTAAAGTTGCATTTTTTGTAGTTCAGTAATGTTTTTGAATAGATAACACAGTACTTATTTTGTATGTTGTCATCCAGCCGTGCAGTGTTAAAAAGCTAAATTTAAACCCAGACTGTTATTAAAGACACAGCAGAAAATATAAAAGAAAGAAATATATCTAAGATCTATTGACACATACTGACTTTTTTATTATCATTTCTGCTTTTTATTAGCTTTGTTGGCAAATCACTTTTTTTCTTTTTTCCTGCTTTTGTTTGCTGGAACCAAGAACTTTCAGCCCTCACGCCAAGACATCATATGACACAGTGGCTGAAAAGCTATTGGTCATCTGATTTCAGTTTCATTTCATTTGGCTTTCTAATAGTCTAGATTTGCTCTCGTCTGCACTGTCGGTTACTCACAGAAACTCTGCTCTAGTTTCCTGCACAGTGAAAAAAAAAAAAACCTCTTTATCGTGCGTGATGTTTCTACAGCTTATTTAAAGGCATGTACAAGTCAAAGAATCCTCTGATTTGACAAAAAAGGAGATATAAGGTTTTGTTGAGACAGCAGTGATGATTTTTAATAGTCAGGTTAAATAAGTGAATTTCATATAATTATATACGTTCATTTATATACATTCATATAATGAGAGATTATTCACGCTCTTAAACAGTAAAATATAAAAGTTCTTTGGAGCAGTGCCATAGAAGAACCACTTTTGGTTCTGTAAAGAGCCGTTTAATGAATGTTCAGAGAACTGTGATTGTAAATGAGACGTGAGTGTGTTTTTAGGTTTAAGGAACCTCCACATAAGGTTCGCTGTCAATTAAAGAATTTCAAAGAACCATTATTTTTGAGAATACACTGTATCTAATATCTCTGTAATAACAGTATAATAATAATAATAATGTAATAATACAATAATCAAACACAATAATGTGTACCAATAATATATCTATAAATATAAATATAAATATAAAATCAGCAAAGGTCAGATAATTACATGTATATATATATGTATATACATATATATATATATATATATATATATATATATATATATATATATATAATCAATAAGATATAATACATAGTATATTATAGACTATATATGTAGTCGCAGTCACAGCAAAATCTTTTCCAGTTTTCTTCATTTTTGCATGTCATTTTTTCATTTTTTTTACACGAATCAAAAACACCAGTTGCCCTTTACATTGTGTCTTTACACTGAGTCACAATTTAACGATGACTGGACCAACAGAAATGGCCCAAAATGACAAAATGCACAAGATTCTTTCATTCCTATTCAAAGTTTATGATGTTTTTCTTTCTTCTGTGATCAGTTTGGACACACAAGGTTTTGTCTTGACAGCGACAGTACATATTATATCTTCATAGCTTTTTCACTTTACCATGTGCAGATTCTAGCATGTCTTTGCTTTAGATAAAAGGGGAAGTCAAGTGTTAAAAAAAAAGAAAAACACCAAAGGAAGTAGCTACAAGTAACTTAAAATGAGGAAGCTCACCAAGAGTTCCAGTTAAAGCTGATTCTTTTTTAGATCTGTGACAAGTTCGTACTCTGTGTTTTACAGGGTGAACGCCTGCTTGGTTTTGGATGATACTCGCACGCCCTGACGGCTCTTCGCACTAAAGATCTTCTCTGAGACTGTGGGGTCCTGCTGCCACTGCAGTGTTTGAACTATCCAGCTCATTTTTGGCCATACCACATCCTGTTCAACTAGACAGCACTTCAACATGGTCGCCATAGCGCACTGCCACAGCCTCAAGTAGAAGAGCGGGGTAAACTCTGCAAGGTAAAGTCATGACTCTTTTAATACGGCTTTATTTTACTGTAATAATAGCTGCGTAATAATGCACATTTGCGATATAAATGACTTGTCCATTTTCGTATAATGCAGTGAATGATGAAAAGGCCGCAAGTGATCCAAACCTAGACTAGTGAGGGGATTGTCAATTGAAATTGCAACACTTTCAAAATTGTGTTCAGACTTTTAGTTTGAGATGATTGTGTTGGTAGAAAAACACTTACTGTAAAGATTTGTTATGACACAATAATAATAATTTGTGTTTCTGACAGTGTAATAGTTTGAAGACTGACGGTGACCAAACAGAAGCTATATGAATGTGCAGACTCACAGTAGCTCTAAACAAAACATTCTTGTAAATTTTTTGAAATATGCAGGCTTTATTCTTCACAGCATGTAGCGAGTGTATGTTGTGGCTGATATATCTGATCTCTCATTAGTTACTCGCTTTGAAGCCATGTTTGGGTGGAAGTATCTTCTAGAGACATTTATGTAAGCTTTTTTCTAGAAGGGTGCAACCCAACACATTTGCTTTTTTGCTAAATAATTTGAATGGTATTTAATCAAGATTAATATTTTTTTATTTATACAACCTACACATCTTTGCTGCCAGTGAAAATGTGAGCTTTGTTTATGAACAATTCAGCCGAAAGTGATAGGAGTGCAAATGCTACCGTTTACCCCATAGGTGGGGTCAATAGCAAGAGACTAGGGGCTAATTGCAACATTCACCAAAAGTCTGCCAAATCAGTGCAAACTCAATTTGTCACTGTCACACAAAAAACATTTATTTCCATTTTTGTTGTTTTTTGAATAATTTGAAAACTCCAGTAACTTTTTGCATTATGTTAAAATTTCATGATGAATGGACCAACAGAAATGGTCCAAAATGACTTGGTAATACTCCTTGTTCCATTAACTTCCATTTGAAGTTACGAATCTTTTTCCTTTCTCCTGTTGCTATTTTGGAGATACAAGGTTTTGTTCCAACAGTAAAATTAGTTCAATGCGATTCTATACTGTTTGAACTAGAGGAGCTTTCTAACACAAACACATAACATTTATTCACTAAAATAAATGATTAGTTAAACAAACTGCATCAATTTTATTTTTGTCCACAATGCAAAGGAAAAAGTACCATTTTTTTTTTAGATGTTGCTATGGGAATATGATAACATAACCAAAACTGTACTTGAGTCTGTTTAACTACATTAAATATTCCCAAATATTTTACCCCACGTTAGCTTGTGCCCTGCTCCATTCCACTTGTAACTTCCTTCTTAAGAAATATTCTGATCATTAATATTGATTTTGATTTATTGATATAAAGACATTTGTTATCAGTATGAGTATGATGTCCCAGAACATCCACATGTATTATTCCTTGGGTAGTCGAGAAGCAATGTTTTGCAGGCATGTGGGGTTTTAAAAATGGTGCTCAGAAATAACAGAGATTATTGCATGAAGAATATTTTCCTTAGATCATTACTATTCCATGAATTTACCATGTTTCTCCAAACCATTACTCACTGTCAGCACTTGGAAGAGCGTTTCAGTGCAGTTTTGCTCTTAGCCAGTGAAGTTCAAGAGAAGTTCTCACTGAGGAGTGGCATTAGCCTCTTAGCGTTACAGTTCCATTAAATGCATATTGTTGAAGAACTATTAGAGTATTATTTACACAATAAAAATTCCATAAGCATGCAGAAAGGTCTTGTAGGTAGTGGTTTGATGTGAAATGTGCCATCATAGTTGTTCACAGTGTTGGTGATAGGAACCAGAGATCTGAAGAGCTTAAAAGCTACCGCACAGAAAGTTATTACTAGTTATAAAGTGGTTACGAATACACTGCTTGATGCCCGAGACATTGTTTCATGGTAGTTGTGAAATAAAATTCTTGTATTTTAAAGTGGTGGAGGGATACATACAGGGTGTTGTAAGGCAAAATAGTTACTAAATAATCTTTTTTCTTTTAAGATTTACAAATATTTTATCATTATCAACATTACATATGAAACTGTAGGCTCAGTGGTCATTTTGGATCGTGAATAAAATGTGAAACTGCGAAGACATTTAAATTGTTAAGGATTGCATCCTTTGTTTACATCTTCGCATTATGCCAGCATGTTGGAAAATCTGTGAAATTCCCCTTTAATGCTTGCCTTTCATCTCAGCAACAGGTGTTTTGTAAGTACTGAAATACAGTCATGATGCACTGGCTTTCACATCTTCAGCATCATTCTGAAATAATGGCAAACCATGAGGAGATCATGCTGACACTGGAACAGACAGGTGACCTGCAGTGTAATCTGATTTCTTTATGTGTTTAGAAAGTTGCCGCTCTTTTACTGTTTGGTCTGAGGTGCCGTTACCAGAACAATGGCCTTTTGTGCCCAGTGAAGCTGTCTGCATGGAACCTTTTGTGGTCAGGGCTGTGCGTTCGAAGAGCCGTGTCTCTACCTGCGCTCGCCCTTTTTCTCTTTCAAGTATAAGTGTAACACTGAGGTTTTGTCAAAGTGCCTGAGGTGCACTGCGTTTTTGAATTGTGTCTGAAAAGGACAGCAGGATGTAAACCTTCCTGTTGCTTTATTTGACATGTTTAAACAGTTAAAGGCACACAGAAAGTCTTCTGTACTCAAAAAAGGCAACAGATGGAAGAATCCAAGCATTCAAGTATTTAGTTGTTCGGAATAATGTCAGATGTGTTGTGCTGCTGTTACAGTGGGGGTTACGGTATGCAGAAGTCAACGCTGGTAAAATGACATGCGTTGATTTTCTCAGTGAACATCCTCTATGATGTTCCTCATAGGGAACAAACTTAAACATGGTAATTTTTCTGCAAATTTTAGTGCACAGTTTCTTTTTATCTGCTGAGTTTAATATTGGAAAAAAAACATAAAATATGAAATGTGCCATAAATTTTGCACAGGCCACATTTTGTGTTGTATTTTTTTTTTCCTAAAATGCTAAATTCAGCAGAAGTGTGTTCTCTGTAGAGAGTGTTATTCTCACATAGAAAAGCACAGAAATAAAATGTGTCATTTGAACATTCACATACAACAGTGTGTTGGCCGTGGCTAATATTGTATATTCCATCTACATTCAAATATTCTACACAGTATTCCAACTGACATTCATTTTGCTTCATGCACTTCATTTTCCAACTTTAATTTACTATCATGTGGTTCAGAAAGGTTGTACAGTAAAGTAAAGTCACAGTAAACATATTGTCGCTGTCCAAATTAAAACAAGTATCTCTGAAACAGTAACTTTACAGGAGAGGGCAACAACACTCTTACCTTTCAATGTAAGTTGATGTAAAGAGGTTTTATTCCAAGTGATTTTAGATCATTCCTATTGGCCCATTCATTGTGAAATTTTCACACGTAAAAAGCTGCTGGTGTGTTAAGATGATGTACTAACATAAAACTGGACAAAAATGAAGATACATGGTTTTCTTTTGATAGCAACAACATTCAAATTGCAATTTATATTGAACCCTTAAAATCTCTGGCTTATTACATATTAAGGCTTATTGTTCAGTAACTACAGGGATTTCAGTGAAAACTGATTGAGCTATTTTTAGCTTATAGAAGTGTGTAATGAAACTTTGGTCCTGTTGGTGGGCCCTGGCCATTTAAGGGGTTAATCTGAGTAAAAGCAGTAAACACAACCACATGCGAACCCTGACAGAAGAACACAGCTATGAGTTTACGCTTAGCTTTTTAGATGTTTTGAACCATGTGACAACATGTGTAATTATTTTTGTACATGAAAACGTGTAGAAACTCATGACTTATGCCTTACAACTTCTTATGTGACCAGCGCTCGTAGATCTTTAGCTGCTCAACTTGCTGTGCGCTTAAAGAGGAATTCCAGCATGTAATGCAGATGTAAGCAAAGTCATTCAGAGTGCTCCATTTGAGAAACTTACCGAGAATTGTTCACAGTGGTGTTGATGGGAACCAGACGTCTGAAACGTTTGATGCCTCTGAAAGATATTTCACAGAAAGTTATCACATGTAATGGTTAAGAATACTGCCTGATGGCTGAGACTTTGTTTTATGATAGTCTTGAAATGAGTTTATGACCTAAAACATGTATTACATTTGAGGTGGAGAGGTACATGCAGGGCAAAATAGTCCCCAAAGAAAACTTGTTTATTTCACATTTAACACTTTTTTACCTTCATTAACATTTCACATAAAATCTCAGAAGATATGTGTAGGTTCCCTGGTGATTTTGGATAGTATTTAAAAATGTCTGCATTTGAGTTGCAGTCACTGTGACTCCTGGTTCTTATCACCACCACTGTAAAGATAACTGTGTTGATACATTTCTGTGCAATGAAGAATTTCGCATCAAACCACTCTGAATGACTTTGTTTACATCTTAAAAAAATGAATTGCAAAAATACTGCAAAAATTGTCTTTTAAGTCAATAAAGAAAGGAATGCTCACTCTAACATTGAGGTGGGCAGGACGTATTTTCATTACCATCGTATGTGTCATTAACATCGTCAGTACTTCTAGAAAAGGCATGTCAAACTGGGGACCTTCCAGGCCAAAGTGCTGCAGAGATCAGTGTCAAGTCAAGTCTAGAGGCTTTTATTGTCATTCCATCTGTGTACAAGTACACAGTGGAGCGAAATTACGTTCCTCCAGGACGATGGTGCAACATGGAACAAAATAGTACAGTACAGACAAAGTGCAAACGTGCAGATAAAAGTGTGCAAACATTAAACTAGAAACGATACAATAAATACGATAAATAAAACAGACAATAGACACAGTAAACAGACAGGACAGGGCAGCACCGACACAGCACTCACTTCTGAGCATGAGGTAGTGATGATAAGGTGCAGAGATATTTAACATACTATGATACGGGTATACGCAGTCATATTATAACATACGTGAGCACAGCAGTTACTGAGGTAGAAATATACAGTACTTGAGTAGAATACAGTATTACCAGCAGTATACAGTATT